TCATGTAAAGAGATGGAAAAAACTGACTCTAGAAGAAAATATAAACCAAATATACCGGAGAGAATTCCCACAAGTGTTTCACGCTATAAGCTTATTTAATAAAAACATGAGTTCAATTAAACAAGAGCTCAAATACAAGACGATAAAACCACAGAAGGAGATGAAAAGGGAGACAGCACACCAAAGGAAATAAATTTGACAAAACAAATTTAGTACCAAATAAATTAGAGAAAGCAAGAAGCAGAAGGGCACTTCTGAAAAATTAGAAGAGAAATCGCTTGAGAAAAATCCCAAATAGATTAGAAAAGCTTGTAGATATAACATAAGAAAATTTCCCTGAAACGCAAAAAAAAAAAGAAGTGAACATATGTACTGAAAGAACACTGTGTTTCAGGAAAATTTGATTCAGATGCTCAACACTGAACTATGTTCAACACAACTTATGAATTCTACAGCTAGAGGAAGAATGCTCCCATTCATCCAAAGAGATCTCTGAAGGGGAGAAAAAGAGGTAGGACCCCAAAATATTATATCCAGCCAAATATTGTCCAAATATAAATGCAGAAATTCTCAAACATAAAAGAACTCAGGGCATAAAGCACCTGGGAGCCCTTCTTTATTAAACAACTTAAAGATAAAATTCTGATGAATCAAATTAAAGAACTCAGAACTGCAGAAATCATATAGAGATTAGGGATTGTCATTGAATCTATTCAAATAGAAAAATTGCATTAAATATTGTGGGAATTAGGGTTCAGAATTAAGTGTGGAAATGAAAAATCTTTAAAATATAAAAATTATAAATAATATTTGGAGGTATGGAAAAAGGAGGTAGGAGAAAATGTGAAAGCATGAATGTCCTCATCTTTTATGATCACAAATGGAAACATGTAGTTGGAAAAAAAGTGAGTGAGACACTTAATGCCTTTTATGATCTATTTTCGCAACATTTGAGAGCCCCTTTATAAAATATTTATCTCTTGTGGTTAAAAACAACAACAGCCACGCTTATTTGAGGTTCAACAATTGCTCACTTTTAGTGTAGTTTCTTTTTCTTCTGATAAATTAAAATAAAATTAAGGGGCCAGCCCAGTGGCATAGCGGTTAAGTTCGCATGCTCCACTTTGGCAACCTGGGGTTCACAGGTTCGAATCCCGGGCACAGACCAATGCACCACTCATCAAGCCATGCTGTGGCGGCATCCCATATGCAAAATAGAGGAAGATGGGCACAGATGTTAGCTCACAGCCAATCTTCCTCACACACACAAAAAACCCCACAAAATTAGAATTTAATGTTTTTGTTTAAAACAGTGCACAAATTATAATCTTTACAACAATAAGCAATTCATCTTTATATCAATGCCTACCTAGAAAGATGTCTGTAATAACATCCAATTAATGTTAGTATTGTTTATTTGTAACAGAATTTGAGGTGATTGTTTTTGTTTTCTTTTTAAAACCTTTTTCTGCATTACCTAAACTCTTTGTAAAAAACATGTGTGATTTTTACACATTATAAACATAAAGTGATTTTTCCTGAAAAAAAAATAGAAACACTTCTCTTGTTTCTTTTTCAGAAATAGAACACATAACACAGGAACTTTCCATCACATAAACCTCACTGGAACTGCATAGACAGTGTTGATGTGTGGTGCAGCAGAGATACACAATTTATCTAAACTCATTATCTATTCTGTTATCTGATCTTTGCGAGTTTTTTTGTTTTTCCTTAAGCCTTGCCAGACCTGTAAGAGGCAGACAAAAACTGCATCTCCCAGAACAAACAAATCCTGATACAGGATGCAGTTGTCTCTATTTTTCTACCAACTCATCTTCTAATCCTAGGATCACTAGAGAAGGTTTAAAATAAAATGGAGCACCTAACTAGTCATTATATTAAAAGCAGAGAATAGGAGATTTGGGGTTATATGTTATATGAAATCCCTTTTTAGTATTGTATCCTGAATCCAAATTAGCAACATTCTTTTAAGCAAAACAGGAAAACACCCAAACCATTTCTCTCTCTCTGATCTTTTAGCCAGTACCTTGTTGGTTTGCCCTTCAATAACATTTATGTCACTGTGATGATGAACTAGTCTTGAAGGTCAGATTTAAAGCACAAACATGTATTTTATAACAGAGGCTCTTTTTCACTGGTATTTTTGAAGAATAAATATGTCTAGCCGTGTAGTTAAATGGTTTTATGTGGGCAATGACATCTCAAAACCAGCCTTGTTCTATGAGGCAATTCTCCCTGTCTTTCTAAGTGATGAAAAACCCAACTTCAATATTTCCGGGGGGGGGACCAAAGGTGTGGACCCTGACAGAGCCCCTTGGGACATGGGAGCTGAGCATCTCCGGTGGCTTCACACAAACTGAACACGAAAGAAAATGGGCCATAGAATGCATTTCGAATCATCCTCTTGTAAACACACAGCTTTGAACGTCCATTTGTTTTCAACATTCTCTCAGATTAACCCTTGATTAGGAAAAGTTTCTAGTCAATATGTAAAAAATATTCTAAAGGAAAAGAAGGCTACTTAAGTCTTAGTAAGGAACAATATAATATTGATATTTTAAAAACAAGACCATAGCCTAGTGTTTTTAGAATGACATTTTATGTGCTGTTTTGATTTTTATTAATATTTTATTTGTTTGCATATATAATTATTTATTTTGAATAAAAAGATACCACAATACAAACCCAAGCTCCCCCATTTATTACGTACTATATGATGTTGAACAGTTTCTTAATCTCTCTATCCATTTCTTCCTCCGTAAAACTGAGATTGCAAATCCTGCTCTACTTATGGGAATGGTGTGAAAAGAAATTAAATGAAATCATGCGTGTGAAAATGCTTCATAAACTACAAACTAATTTACACAAGCATTTTGTTCTTTGTATTTTAGTAGATAACAGATTTCCGTTCTGGTGGACATTGGGTGGTCTGGGTAGGAACTCTGTGGAACATATCTACAAATAGTAAGTTCATACAGTTCATAATTTATAATCCCTATAATATTTCAGAACAAAAAGTAGACCATAATCATATTCTCCTTCAGCATCTGCCTTTTACCACCTCTTCACAAAGTGTCTTTTATACTCTCTCCTTAAATACACCCCCTCAAAAATCTATGTGTATCTTTTGCCTAATTACATCGGTCTCTTTCATTTTGAAAAGCCCTAATCATTAGAAAATTCTTCCTTATAGTAAAACAAAATCTATGCTCCAAAATTTCCACCAGCCACCTTAATTCTTCTCTGTGGTGTTACTGAGAATGGATAAAATCCTTTTTTCTACATCAACCTTAGTATATCCACAACAGATCTTCAATTCTCCTTCACACATGTCCCCTACACCATTTGCACACCATCAGGTTTCCTTCCTCTTCTCTTTCCACCTCCGTCTCCCTGATACGCAGTCAATCAACAAGTCCAGTGGGTGCTACCTTCAAACGGTGACCTGAACATAACCATTTCTCATCAACTCTAGCGCCACCACCCTCGTCCCACACCCCTTCGCCTCTCAACTGGACAGTCACGATACTCTCCTGGTTGGAATTATTGTCCTCCTAGAGTCCTTTCTCAACACAGTAGCCAAATTTTTTATATTTGTTTATAGCCTAAAATGGCTTCTCTTTGCACTTAAAACCCCGAGTCCTTATGTTGCCTATCAAGTCCTATATGATCTGGTCCCACTTGCTGTCAGACCTCCTCATTTATTCTCTACCATATTTCCCTCTGTTCCAGCCAAACTCACCTTCTTGCTGTTGTTTGAACATGCTAGCTTCATACCCACCACAGGTCATTACACGGCTTCTTCTCTCTGCAAAGAGTATACTCGTATATCTTTCTGTGGATGGCTCCTCATCACTTAGGTCTCTGCTCAAACATTACCTCCTGCCATGGATTGAATGTTTGTGTCCCCCCAAAATTCATATGTTAAAATCCTACCACCCGACATGATGTTATTAGGAGGTAGGCCCTTTGGGAGGTGGTTAGGTCATGAGGGAGAGTCCTCATGAATGGGATTAGTGCTCTTATAAAAGCAGCTTGAGAAAGCTCCCTTGCCCCTTCTGCCATGTGAGGTGAATGCGAGAGGACAGTTGTCTATGGGGAAGTGGGTTCTCACCAGGCACAGAATCTGCCAGCACCTTGACCTTGGACATCCCAGCCTCCAGAACTGTGAGAGATACATTTGTGTTGTGTATGAGCCGCACTGTCTACGGTGTTTATATTATAGTAGCCTGGACAGCCTGAGACACCCCCCAGAAAGGCTTCTACCACCCTACTGACAACAGCCCAAGACCACCATCCTTAGAAATGCCTACTTGGATGGATGACCTTTGGCTGACATCAAGAAACTTAAAATAGTCAACAATTTCCTGAGATAAAACTTTAAGTAAATGATAAGAGTGACTCACTGTGTCTACACTGTTTGTACAAATGATGCCGTTTACGTTGAACACTTGCTTTCCTTCTGGAGTCTGGAATGTTGGTACTTACTAAGCAGAGGGCACCTATGTGACCAGCCCCCAGTAAAAACTCTCGACACTGAGTGTCTCATGAGCTTCTCCAGTTGACAACATTTCATACATGTTGTCATAATTTGATGCTGGTGGAATTACGCACATTCTGAGCAACTCCACTGGGAGAGGTTTCTTGGAAGCTTGCACCTGGTTTCCTCTGGACCTTGTCCCATGTGCCTTCTCCTTCTATTCATTTTCTTTATATTCTTTCACTGTAACAAATATTAGTCATGAGTCCAACTATATGCTGAATCCTTTAGGTCCTCCTAGAAAATCACTGAACCTGGGGGTAGTCTTGGGGACCCTGGACACAGCAACCAAGAAGCTCACCTGGTCTCTCAGTTGAAAAGAATCAAAGAGAACAGCACATAAAGGAATTCTACAACATGGTGATGAATCCAATATGAAAATAAAGCCCATCCTTCCCTGAAGTATATTACCCTACTATGAAATCCATTTACTACTTACGTGACTGGCCTGTAGATCTCCTTAACACCAATGAACTGAAGTTGTTCCATAATGTCTGGAATACTTGCACATCGAGTAAGATTAATTCTTGGGTAATAGAGAAGGTATGAGAGACACATTTCATTCCTGGTGCTTAGTCCTCCCTGAAAAATAGATATTTTATTTAGTAAAGCATGGGTTCCACCAATTCTGACCCTTATAGCACACAAGCCACTAATGTCATACAGTTCCAATATTGAAATGCAATAAATATTACAGCTGGAAAATAATAATCTAAATGATAATTTGGTTTTTTAAAAGGTAGTGACACATTTAACAATTAAAAGAGTTATTTCCATCTCTTTAAAAGTTGCCTCTCTTAAATAACCTAATAATCTCCTTAAAGTTCTGTTTATATGATGCAAACTTCCCACCACAGTGAATATTTCAGGGGATTATGGGGATGTTTGGTTAACATGATACCAGTCAGTCAGTCTGATGGAATCTGCCTGATGGAACTGAATTTTCTATAATCTTGTTGTCATGTGTATAAAGATCAGTAGCTGCATGCCACAGAGGAGACAGATTTCACATTTTGAATCTTAATAGTAAATTATCTACTAAAATTAAAAAAGATCAAAGATCCTCAGAAGAACAGAATCTAGAGTTGCTGCAACATATTATCTACAATGTCCAATTTTCAACCAAAAGTTATTAAACATGAAAAGAAACAGGAAACTATGATCTGTACTCAGGAAAATGACGTTGGTCAGTAGAAACTAATTGTGAGAGGATACAGATGCTGGATTTAGCAAAGATTTAAAAGCAGATATAAATATGTTTAAAGAGTGAAAGAAAGATGGTCAAGTAATTAAAAGCAAATACGCTAAAAATGAGTGAACAGGTAGAGGAAAAGAAAACATAAAAAAGAACCATGGGGCCGGCCCCGTGGCGTAGCGGTTAAGTACGCGTGCTCCACTACTGGCGGCCCGGGTTCGGATCCCAGGTGCGCACGGATGCACTGCTTGTCAGGCCATGCTGAGGTGGCGTCCCATATAAAGTGGACGAAGATGAGCACAGATGTTAGCCCAGGGCCAGTCTTCCTCAGCAAAAAGAGGAGGATTGGCATGGATGTTAGTTCAGGGCTGATATTCCTCACAAAAAAAAAAAAAGGACCAAATCAAAATTTTAGAGTTTAAAGGTACCATAACTGGATAAAAAAATTCACAGGATGAGCTCAACAGCAGATTTGAGATGGCAAAGGAAAGAATCAGTGAATTTGAAGATAGATCAGTAGAAATTTTCCAATCCAAAGAACAGAGAGAGAGAGAAAAAAAGACTAAAGAAAGTGAAAACATCTCAGAGATCTGTAGGACAATATTTAATGTTCCAACATACATGTAATTGGAGTTCCAGAATGAGAGGGAAGAAAGAAAAGAATAGACAAAAATTTTAAAAAATAATGGCTGAAATCTTCCCAAATTTAGCAAAAAACATTAACAGACAGACCCCAGAAGTTCAATAAATGCCAAAGATAAATATGAAGAAAGCCATACCTAGGCACATCATAGTCATATTGCTGAAAGCCCAAGAGAAAGAGAAAATCTTGAAAGCAGCAAGAGAAAAATGACACGTCACATACGGGGAACAATAATACAATTGACAGCTGACATCTCATCATAAATGATGGAAGTAACAAAAAGATATTGGAATTACATATTCAAGTGCTGTGGGGAAAAAGAAATTAACTAAGAATTCTGTATCCAGCAAATCATCTGTCCTTCAAAAATGAAGGTGAGGAGGGAGGAGGGTGAAAGGGGTGACTGGGCACATGTGTACAGTGATGGATGGTAATTAGTCTTTGGGCAGTGAACATGATGTAATCTACACAGAAATCGAAATAGAATGATGTACACCTGAAATTTATATAATGTTATAAACCAAGTTACCTCAATAAAAAAAATAAAAATAAATTTTTAAAAAATGAAGGTGAAAAACAGCAGTATTGTTCATAGTTATAAATTAACGTAGTGGCTAATATGCAATGATTTTACAAATTGCAAAACATAATGTCTTGCTCTTCAGGATTGGGCCAAGGGAAAGGCTGATCTACAAATGAGGTTACAACTGTCACCTCAGTAAATATCATATTTAATTTATCCCTGAGTTGGATGGCTCTTCAGAGTTATACCAAATTTTAGGAAGGGAGCTGGGCCTTTGTATCCTCATATCGACCAGTCATGGGCTGCTGGTCACCCCACTGGAGAGGGTGCAACTTTAAGTGAGGCATTCCCAGATACCAAGGGCTGTGCCCAATGAGGGACACAGTTGAGTTCTCATCATCCGATATTTTCAGTGGCTGGGGTTTAGCTGTGTTGGCCCTGAAGAGGGAGGGTATCCAGGCAGAGCACCAAAATATGCACTAAAATAATAATTTATTATGTCTATAATAAAATATTTCATGCAAACAAAATTATATATAAGGCATGAGAAAAATAAAGCCAACACCAGTGTATTGACTACACTCTGTGCTCATCTTCAATTCTCCTCTTTCCCATCCTAACCAAAGATGACAATTGTCTTAATATTTTCATTCTATTGCTTTTCATCACACTCTAAATTCAGTTTATTGATGTATGTTTCCTTAGACAATATATTGCTTATCTATATTTTGTATGTTCTTGAACCTTAGATAAATGGTATCATACTACATTTAGTCTGATGTAAACTCCTTCTTTTCAATCAACATTATTTTCTTCAGCTACATTCATGTTAATATATGTGGCTTTAGTTCATTAATTTTCATAACTATATATCACTCATATATTATATGGACATATTATAATGCATTTATTTGTTCTCCTTTTGATAAGTAGTTGAGCTGTAACCAGTTTTTTGTTCCTGTGTTGTTATACGTTACTATGAATATTTTATATATTTCTCTCCCGGAACACTTTGCAAAAATAATGTCAAGGTGAAATCTACACAGGAATAGAACTGGGTAGGGCATATATGAATCTCCAACTTTACTAGATAATGCCATGTTTTTCCCCAAAGTGGTTTTATAAATTTACCTTCAGCAGTGTAGAGGGTTCCAGTGTTAGCACATTGGAATTGCAATTTTAAATATTACCAAACTCGTGGGTATAAAATATCTCATTCTGGTTTACATGTGCATTAATTTGGTTTGCTTCAAATGAAATAGAGCATCCTTTATCTGTTTATTATTTATCTGGGCTTATATTTCTGTGAAATGTTTTTTTCTTTTGCTCTTTTTCTATTGTATGTTTATCTTATGTTACTGATTTATGGAATTTCTTTTATATGCTGGATACTAATGCTTTTCTAATCTATGCATTGCAAATTTTTTTTTTTTTTTAGTTTAAAACTTGTTTTTTCACTTACTTAATAGTGTTTTTTGGTAACCAAAATCTTTAAGGTAGTCAAATTCATCATTCTTTTAATTTATAGTTTGTACTTCTTATATATTATTTCAGAAGTTCTTACCTACCCCAAAGTCATAAAGATGTATTCATACATTTTTCTCCTAATGGTTTTAAAATTTTGCTCTTCACATTTAAATACGTAATCTACCTGGAATTGATTTTCTTTGTATATTGTGAGATAAAGACACCATTTTATTTTTGTTATCCAGATAGCCAATTGTGCCAGTATTCTTTAATGAAAAGTCTATCCTTTCCCACTTCTCTGAATGCCATGTCTACCCTAAAAACAAGTCCTCCACAAATGGAGGTTTTGTGGGTCTGTTTCTTGGCTCACTATTCTGTTCCACTGTTCGAAGTCTGGACCCAAAACATACTATTCACCATCATAGCTTTAAAATAAGACTTCATATCCAGTAGCTTGTTTCCCATCTTGTTCTTTTTTGTAGTGTTTTGCCTATGATTAACCCTTTGCTCTTCTATGTAGATTTTAGAATCAATTTGCTCCACGTAAAAGCTAAAACTGTAAAATTTTTAGAAAAGTTAAAAAATAGGAGAAAATCTCTGTGGCTATAGCCAGGCATGATTTCTTAGTTAGGATACTAAAATCCTAAATCTGAAAATCTCTCTGACTTTTTTTACTGGAATTATATCAAATTTATAGACCAATTTAAATTGAAAGATTATTTTACTGAGCCTTATTACCCATGAACATAGTATCTCTTAATTTCTTTAGGTGTTCTTTAATGTCTTGCAATAAAGACTAATAATTTTTCCATTGAGATTAAACACATCTAATGTTAGATTTTATTTCTGTAGAACTTATAATTTTAAATTTCGTTTTCTTGAGATAGTTTCTTGTATACTAAAAGACAACTAATTTTAGATATTATCAATTTTTAGGAAGTTTTTGATGTAGTAAATTACAGTATCTGTGAATAATGTGCTTTACTTCTTTGCTTCTTCCTTTCTGATCCTTGTATCTCTTTTTTTTCTTTTCCAGTACAATGTTGAGTAGAAACAATGATAATAAATATCCTATTCTTCTTGATTTTAAAGAAATACCTCTAATATTTCATTTAGTTAGATATTTGCTATCAATTTTTCATAGCCAATCTTTACCCAGTGAAGGCAATTCTCTCCTCTTCCTGGTTTGCTAAATGTCCTTTTTTCCCCCATGACTGACTTAAATTTTATAAATGCTTTTTCTGCTTCTATTGAGGTGATCATATATCTTATTCCTTCAATCTCTTGGTTGAAGAATGGCATTAATATATTTTCTAAGTTAAACCAATTTTATATTCCTTGGCTAAACCCAAATTGGTCCTAACATTACATGTTTACTTAATGCAAGCTTTGGTTTGTCAATACTTTGTCAAAGATAGTTCCACCGGGGGCATGCTGTTGACCTCTCTCACATGCTCTTATCAAGTTTTAGTATTAAGATTATGTTAACTTCGTAAACTGAGTTGACGGGAGGCGTTCCCTCTTTTTGTGTTCCGTAGAAGAGAAGAGTCAGGCACGAATGATCTATTTCCTGAATGTTTGGCAGAACTCCCCAGCAAAGCTGTTGGAACCAGATTTCTCTTTGGGTCAGAAGCCCTCTGGTCATGCAATTCATTCTTCCTTTTGAAGTCTTGATTCATCTAAGTCCGGACACACGTAGATGGACATTAGTGACCACAGGTCTTTTATTAATAATATTTGGTGAGAAAAAATTAAAAGACTAAAGAAAGCTTTTCATGAAGGAGTCAATAAATTACACTGCAAATATTACCATAGTATCATTACTTAATCTGATAAAATTCTAAAACAGCTCTGATTTCAGTTTTATAATGTTTCACGCTCAAGATGTTTAGGAGTTTTGCTTCCAAATGGGAATGCTTTTTACTTTTTTTCTTCTAAAATCAAAGTTTATTCCTCCCTTTCCACAAATGAACTTTAAAAATAATAAAAATTTTCTTACCCACGTCATCCGGCCTCTATCTTTTGTGTTGTAGCGACACTCAGTAATTAGATTATCTCCCTGAAACATAAAAGTAAAAGCTTTCAGATTGGAGTTTTATGCTGTTTTATTTAGCTAACACATTTGCAGGCCAACAGGTTAATTTGCTATATGAATGGGTGTATTAAGTAATTTGATTCAGGAGAAGATCTTTGATCTGTTTAATTCTAGGATTGCTAGTATAATAAGCAAACAAACAACTAAGGCTCTCAGGCCAGACTCCACCATGCCCTAGTTGTATGACCTTTGGTAAGGAAATGAATCATCTGGGCACAGTTTGTTCACCTAAAAAATAATGATAAAAATAGCACTTATTTTGCACAGCTGTTGTGAGGAAATTAAATGACATACACACTTAGTTCTTAGAACAGATTGAACACTTCATAAATGTCAGCCGTAGATGTTAGTTATTGTGATCGCCTCTTCATTTACATTATTTTCCCCAAAGGTCTTTAATCATGTCTATTTCCTTATAACAGAACTGTGAGGCAAAGTAATAGTAATTTATTGTTCTAGTGTTTTCCAACCTTTTGAACAATTCAGTACACGCAGAAAACATTTTTTTATGGCTCCCACTCAGGTAAATGAGCAGGCTATTCATGGACCAGAGGCAGCTAGCTCTGGGTGCTAGCCCCCAGGCTCGCTCTCCCTGCTCCACTCCTCAGAGAGCCCCTGTCTCAGCATCTCAGCACACGCACACCTGCTCATGGCACACCAGGTGGGGAGCTCCGAGATAACACAATAAGACTGGTTGGAAAGCCCCAAGACAAGACAATGTAATAAAAGAGAGTGTAGTCCTTCAAATCTTGACAAGATCACTACTTCTCAATCTTCATTTTTCTACTCTCGGGGTGTATCAAGGGATTTCTCACGTAGAAAAGATAATGCTATTACTCTCATTTCTTAAACAGTATAAGAATCTGACTTTTAAGAAAGGCATAAAGGTAGGAAATTGTATAACTATGGAGCTTGATGCCTATGGAATAAAAAATTTGACAAAACAAAGCATCATAAAGTTTTTTTTAAATCCTTTATTATAAGGCACAAGATTCTCTTCTGTGTCCCTCCATCATGAACCAAGTATTGTTGCAAGCTGGATTACATAGCATAGTATAATTAGCTATGTCTGAATACCTTTGTCAAATGAAAGAATTATCTTTATGTTCATTTTTACTGAAATGAAACTACCAAAAAATATCCTATGGTATGAGGAAACCTCTGATTTTACCATTACTAGAATTGCAATCCAAAGTTTTGTTAACTGGGGAGTCAATTAAAAAAAAGAGCAATATTTAGTGCTCAGAACCCAAGTTTTTATTTTCTTTTTAAGTCAACAACTTGAATTGCCCCCGGGGAATCATAAGAAAAATGAGCTTTGATTTTGGAAAACAGATCAAACACATTCCACCTGCGTTGTGCAACACTGTGGTGGGTGGTTTAAAGACTACGCATATGACAAGCAATTCATTTTGCCAGTAGAAACCTTGCTAATTTTAGCAGATAGATGTCTCACCACTTTCATAATATTCATTGAAAAAGAACAAAACATTCATACTGGTAAGATTGTTTGTTCTTCCTTTAGATACTGAAACTCCTGGAAATTGAAGTCAAAATCGTCATCATAAGCGAGTAATCTCATTTCCTCCCCTTTGCGAAAATGACGCAGCCTGATGCCTCTGCCCGCCAGGTGAGCATGCAGAAGGACAGCAAACACATGGATTCCACTCGGCTTTTCGGCTTCCAGAGCCTTCGGGGGACACAGACAAAGACCTAATTAACCCAAACAAGCACGTGTTCAGACAGTTCGCATTAAAACAGACTTGGAGGGACAGCTGAGAAGAAAAGCTAATGCAATTTAAGTGAATGCCTGAGCCGCCAAACATTTTGAATTTGGATTTATCGTGACTTATTCCTTGTAGTGTTATCCTCGTGAAGCAACATTTGCCGGGAGAAAAGAAAGGGAGCTAACATTTATTGAGGACCTACTGGACCACTCCTAAATGTTATCTATTTCCTTCTTTTAGGAGGTAAGGAGGCAGTCAAAGCTCCTGACAAAAAGATTCCAGTATGTTAGTAACCTGCAAGTCAAAGTTTTTAAAGGAGAAATTATTTCCACTTTTCCAGATAAGAAAACCGCAGGGGGAGAGCGGAACTAAGTGAATTGCCCATGGTCCTACAGCTAGTGAATGATGTCAGGGCAATTTGAATCACGTCTAAATAACTCAGAAGAGCACAATCTTTCCACCTCACCCGTCTGGCATACTGTCTAAAAATATCTTATAATTCATAAAGAAGATGATTCATGTTGAAATACTTTCATTCAAGAAAAAAGAGCTATAAATGGAAGCAGCCATTATTAAATACTTATATATGGTTTTCTCTTATCCAACATGATTTTTTTGCGTGGGGGAGGAAGATTGGCCCTGAGCTAACATCTGTGCCAATATTCCTCTACTTTCTATATGTGGGATGCCACCAAAGCATGGCTTGATGAGTGGTGTGTAGGTCCGTGCCTGGGATCCAAACCTGCTAACCCCAGGCTGCCCAAGTGGAATAAGTGAACTTAACCACTATGCCACCAGGCCAGCCCTTCAAATATGTATTTTTATCTTAGTTATTCTTGCTCTTTGGCTAAAGAAGGGAAGGAAACTATAAGGCAGAGAAAAAGAGAAAAAAAATTGAAAATGAATAATGGAAAAAATATGGATAAAAAGCTAAGTAGAGAAAGGAAAAAAAGACTAGACAAACAAAGGTAGAAATTGTAAAAGATAAAATAAAGTGTCCAATCTGAAACAAAGGAGGGAGAAGCCAGAAGGAAATCACCCTGGAAGTTACTCTCGTCTTCAGAACTCTACTCCTGTTGCCCTCAAGATTTAATACAGCAGCCAAAGATCTTGCTAACACTAGAAATAATGGTTTTACAGCACGACAATAAGAAAAAGATGAACACTAAACAAGCATGGAATTTTCCAAACCTAGTTCTCTAAGAGCATTGATGAATCTGTAAACAGCAGCTCATAGACTCAGATGCAGCATACCTCGTCCAGGCATTCCAGGGTGCAGTGACCCTCGGACCGGAATTCGGGCATCCCTGGAGGGATGGTATGGAAGAGGCTCACCCAGAGGCCAGCCTCAATCACTCCGGCATCGTACTTCCTTATATCTGTCGTGTGAAATAACCTCAGTCCAGAATTATCGATTAAGCCTGGAACAAGGACATATAATTAAAATGAGTTCGAGTTCTTAAAAAAAAAAATGTTCTCCATATTCAGTTGAAATGGGTTCATTAATTTTCCTTAAAATCTCACAAGAGAAAGAAACACAAGCAAAGATTAATGGAAGACAACACTCAGCTTCACAAACAGGAATCAAAAGACAAGTCGCCACATTGTCTGCAACCATTTTCAACACACACAGCAAACCACGGGAGAAATGTCTGTGCTGTCCAGCTGAAATATTCCACAATTATCTAACAGGAAGACAGGATGAAAATTCTAACGTCATTCATTAGAATACAGAATAACTCAACAAAAGTTTTATTTTATATCGTTTTGAGGTAAAGTTCAATAACATTTCCATAGCAGTGAAAGTCTCTTAGTCTAGAAACCATCTGCTGATGGAGTAAACTGCTAATGATTAACTTTCTTTATAGTTCGTCATCATCTTTTAATGATTCAACAAACATTCAATAAACAAAAACTTATTGAGAATCTATTATGTGCACAGCCCTGCATTAGGCATTGTAGGGATGAAAGATGAATAAGACACATTCGTTGCTGTGACACGGTTGACATAAGGACGGAGAGTATGAGTCCCAAACACTTCATAAATCTGTTCCACTAACTTTGAAATGAATTGACTCCCTTCAGCCGCGGCAACTTACCTACCTGTGACTACCAAATGGACCCTTTGGATCGATTAGCATATACGTAATTTTATTAATTGGCGTGATTATTTTAATGTTTCTCTTTCCCGCTACACTATAATTTCCACGGGGGTGGGGACAGTATCTGTTTTTCACTCACATTATATCATTAAGCACAGACCCAGCTGGTGCTCAGTATTTGCTGAATAATTGCACCAATCAATGTAAAAAATAACTCTTAGTTGCTTTGGTTGATAATTTCATAGTGAATCTTTCAATTTTTTGGTTTTGGAATATTACATAAGTAAATTCAGAAGTCAAATGTAAATACCCCCTCTTCATTTCAATATCATATTACACAGTGTCACTGCATAAATATTTCTTGGGTATATTTATGGTTTGCCTATCACATAACAAAATGCTTAATATTTTCTAGGGTGATGAATGGTAGTTTTTCATATGTGCAATAAGATAGAAAATGTTTCATAAGCACCACGTATTGGGGACTAATTTACATTACAAAGGGAAACAGTCTATTATTCTACTTCCTGGTAAGTAGTATACAAATGGCTTGTTCAGATTAGTGACCACATGTGTCCATTGGTTCAGTGTTAGTTAACGACTGTTGTCCCAGTGGAATTATTAACAGTACCCTCTTTCACTCTAAAAAGTATCCTAACTTGGATGACAAATGTATAAGTTAATTTTTTCTAACATTGGATGCTATTTTCTTTTAACTCTATCAACGATAGGAATTGCAAAACTTTTTTAAAATCTTAGGTAGAATATATGAAGAATAAACTCACCTTCCTTATATGTCGGGTTGTCATAATGGACTTCCAGGAGCACATAGTGAGGATCTAACGGAGTGCCGAGGGATAATCCAACATGAGGTGGATAGGAAAAACCCTAAAGGAGGAGAATTCCATGAGACAGTGTCCTATGAAAGTCACCGCAAGTTCTGCTCCACTCAGAAACCAACCGTTCTGAAAGATATTTCAACAGTCCAGAACTCCATTAATCTGTAGTTGATAAAATGGCTTAAGGAAAGAATTACTTCCAATGGAAAGAAAAACAAGCCACCCTCATATCAAAAATAGTGTATAGAGCTTTACTTATAAGTGTTAGACTCACAGGGGAAAAACATGATCAATTAATAAATAGTGTCACATCTCAGTCATCGTGAGCCCCACCTCTCCACCAATGGCCCAGGCGAAAATGACGGTCTCGCAGGTGAGGAACGCATCGGGCATGTTAGGGTGGTAGCACTCGTGGCCGTAGTCCAGAACGCTGTCGTTAAAGCTGCTGCCGCACTGATAGAGCAAGATGTGATGGACCAGACTCTCGTGGCCTCTCTGTATCACTGGCTCAACCTAAACAAGCACAAACAACAGGGAGGGTGTGATAAATAAACCACCCTACAACATCCAACCGTAAGCATGAAACTAGCATAAACGATGATCAGTGTTTCAAAGCAACAGTTTTCTCAATTACTCGAATGGTATGGAGTTCAAGGATAATTTGTTCTGGAGATGACGACGACGATGATGATGACGACGACGACAATGGTAGCAGTGAAGACGAGATAACCATTTATTCCAAGAACCACAGGACTTTACTAATCCATTGTTTGTTTTTTTAACTCACTTTTGTTTCCCTTAGCATTCGGCATAGCGGCCGTTTCTAAACGTGCTTGCTTTCTTCCAGGCTTGGCCTTGCCCTTCCCCTCCTCCCTTTTTTTTTTCACATAGAAAAAAATAATCAAGGCTATAGGCATAACTCCCTCAGTCTCCCTCTCTTCCACCTCAAAATATTATCTTTACCCACCCCTAATGGAGGTGATAGATGATGTCTCATTCATCTATCTGTCATCTATCTATCTATCTATCTATCACTATCTATCTATCTATCTATCTACCTATCTATCATCTATCTATCTATCTTCTCTCCGTCTATATGGTGCTGAGCATGGTGCTGGGCATAAAGTAGGGCTCAATAATGGATATTTTTCTTTTATTGATTAAAATCAAATTCTAATAAGAATTTTACTATTAGAATATAGGAGAGGAAAAAAAACATTGTAGTGATGTGCTCCTGTGACACTGCTCAAATTAGGAGAGGGAAACCAGAAACCAGTGAAAATGGAATGAGCCGTGGAGTCGGTCCCAGTATTGAAAGCACCACCCATGTGAGCATGCTCCTTCCAGTGTCCCTTCTGTAAGGTCCCTTCATGACACTGCCCCCATCAGGCCAGGAACTCAGAATGAGCTAAGACATCCTAACATCCCAGGGAGGCTTACAGCCAGAGGAAAGGCACGAGCCAGATACTTAGCCTAGCTGGGCTACAGGCATTGCCATCAGTCACAGGGTTCTTTGACTCTTCCGTTCATCTGTCAAAGAAGCGCTGATGTGTCCATAAATTTCCAAGAGTTGAGCTCATCAACACCTCTGCTTTTAGCCCTAACTCCTCAAATGCAGGCAGCACATTTTGAACCCCTGCTTGCTCTCTGCTTCACACGGATATAAAGATGAAGTGTTTTCAGCTCTTTTCTCCTAAGGCTTTCCATTTTGATTTTCTACATAGGTTTCCTTTTTTTTTTAATAGGAAAATCTAAGCAGCCAAAGAGAGAAACAATGTGTAGTAGTAGAGCTCTGAATGGGCAGCCAGGGGTTGAGTTTTTAAATCCAGCTCTCTTTCGTGTTGCAGTGAGTCATGCCACACCCAAGTCACATGAATATTTTTAACATCCCAGTCACAGAAATGATACTGCCCATGGCTTTGTTTGCACTTTTCTCATCTCTAAAAGATCTTGCACCCTGAAGGCAGAAACTATTTTCTATTTTGCTTGAAAATGACAGTGATTGTTCAAGCTTGGTTGCATAATATACAACAATTACACAGAAGGGCAGAATTTCAATTAGATTTTAGTTTTCACATCTAGTTTGAGCTTTCTTGCAAGACCTGACTTATTTGGGCACTCAGTATTCCAAGGGGACAGGGCACTGCTAATCCGGCCACAGGCAAATATTCAGGCATGTGTGAGGCTTTTGCTAAGTGCCTTCTAAGTGCAGGCAGAACTTGTAGGTTGTGCTGAGCTCTACAAGGTGGGTCCTGGGAAGGAGCCTTTAGGGCAAATGAGAGCTGGCTCTTGCTAAGGCAGTTGCAAACTAGTGGCTTCATTGAGGCCTAGCAAGACGGAACTAAGAGAGAGTGGGTACGGAGTATGTGAGGCTGGGTGGCTCCTGCCTTTAAGGAGCTTCAAATAAACTTAAGAGAAGCTTTTAAGAAGTGTTTTTTTTTTTTTAATAATTTTATTTATTTATTTATTTTTCCCCCAAAGCCCCAGTAGATAGTTGTATGTCATAGTTGCACATCCTTCTAGTTGCTGTATGTGGGACGCCGCCTCAGCACGGCCGGAGAAGCGGTGCATCGGTGGGTGCCCGGGATCCGAACCCAGGCTGCCAGCAGTGGAATGCTCGCACTTAACCGCTAAGCCATGGGGCCAGCCCCTAAGAAGTGTTTTTTTAACAGATATAGGAAGTGCTGAAACCAACACCAAGCTGCCAAGATACTAACGCATTCTGGGAACAATAGTAGTAACATCTGTCTTTTATTTGGCACCTACTCTCTGCCAGCTACTATATTAGTCATTTGACATACTTCATTTAATATTTACAACAAATTTATAAGGGAAATGTTACTGCCTCCATTTTACAGATGAGAAACTGAGGCTCAGAGGATTAGGCAACCAGGCCAAAGTACCACGGTTAGGAAGCAGCAGACGGGGATTTGAAACTAGGCTAGTACCACCCCAAGGTCAGAACTCTTCTAAGGGCAGCACGTGACTGGAGGAAGACACGCTGGAGAAGCACCAAGGCCCCTGGACGTGGCTGCCAGTGAGCGGGAGGATGAAGGCTTCACGTGAGCAAGGTGCCAACAGCCGTCAGCAATGGGGATGGCAACACCGCGGAGCCGAGGCCAGGAGGCGCTTCTGGAGCCTTTACCAAGAACCACCACATGACACGGCCATGGGAGGAGCAGTGCCAGACTGGGAGCCTTAAGCTGGGGCTCTCCTGTCCTCTTGCCACTCAGTCCAAGTGCCCCTTGGCATCTAGGGAGAGGACACAGACCCGTGGTCTCTAAATGTGCTCTCTCCTAAGGAGGGCAAATAACAAGGTCTCTCCTTGAATCCTAGCGAGGGCCTCAAGGAAAATTAAACTGTAACCCAATCACCAGATTACAAATTGAGGGTATAGACTAAAAAATAAGGATTTTCTTAGGAAAAACACACTCATGAACCAACAAAGAAACTTTCCACATGCAAACCTAGGTATTGATCATAGGAAAATATAGGAAGGCTCGGAAGAAGCAAAGCCCTTGGCAAAATAGAAAGGATGTGAGATAGGAGAGGGACAAAGAGAGAAAGAATTATATGTAAGGATAACTATTGAATTAAGGAGCCCCTAATATGGAGGAAAAAATATGGGTTATGAAACACCTGAAGAATAGGAGAATTTCTGGAGAGGGAATTTTACGATGACCCAGGGGAATAATTAAATGAGACATCAAGAATAGTCGTACGGATGGGTATAACCTGTTTAGTGCAGGGTGTGTGTTCCAGGGGATGGGAGCACTTGGATCAGAGTGGGTCAGGGCCATTGGCTCGTGGTGCCCAACATGGGATAGGATCTCCCACAAGCTCCCTGCCACGCTTACAGAGCCCAGTAATGCCCGTACAGGGCTCCCAGTCCCCAAATGACGGCCGCTCCTTATCTTGCGCCTCCTCCAGCTGTTCCACAAACAGCTGAAGCAGTCACAGCACCTGTGTGTGGCACCCTGTTGCGATACTCTTCCTGAGCCTGAGGAAGGCTGAGGCAGAGCCTGGAGAGCACGTCGGAGAAAGGAGAGTGAGGCACTCAAGTGCTCCATCACACAGCCTGCTGTTGGCTGAAAGCAAGCATTACACACTGCTCTTTCTAACGTACTAGGAACCTGCCCGCGGGAAAAAGACTTTTCCTTCTGCATCACTGCATCGTATGAAACAATGGTGGAGTTACACATTTCTGTATTTAAAGTATTTCTGAGACAAATGAGGCTGTAACAAACTAGTGCTATAGGGGGCAGCACTTAAAAAGGATTTCCTATTTCGGTTACTTCACAGATGTCATGCTATTATCACAATCAAAATGGAATGCCAAGAGTTGCCTCTATTCAAAAAAATATGAAAATTATAGAAATTCTCAAAGAAGAGCATGGCAACATAAAGTGTAAATGTAGATACATTGGTATTTCTGAGACTGGAATAAACGTTTAATTTAATTTTTATTTTAGGCTGGCTATTTGATGGCCAAAGAAATAAATTAAAAGGAATATAAAGCAGTGCATATGGAAGTGGGTGGCAGTGACACAGAGGCCTGATGACATGTGAAGCTATGTTATTGGTCACTGTGTTCTTGCACATCAGCGGGATTTACAGACACAGAACAGGGGATAGGCCTGTACTCCCACCTTCAGATGCAACTGATGCCAGGCAAGGATGCCTGGCAGCCATGGGCTATCTGTTAGCCTCATATTAAACGAACAGCCAGGAACCAAAACACAGATGAAAAAGAGAGGGGAAGACTTCAACCTGAAGGATTTTAAAGAATAAAACAGGACCTTCCGTTAGTTCAAGTAACTAGAACTTTGGGGTCCTCTGGAGAGGAGTTAGGAGTAAAAAGAGAAGAAGAAAGAAAAGAGCTACTAAGCACAGGCAAAACCAAAGTGGAGATGAACCTCGACCATAAAACTGAATCTGGAAACTGAAAAGCCCCAAATATTTACACCGTTCCTCATGACCCCATCATCTTCTCTTGTCCTCTTTATCCGTGTCAAATATATCTAGCATAGTCGCTGCAACACACAGACTGTTTAATAACTATTTATCGAATGGAAAAGAAGTGAATGCTACCCTTTCCATGAAGCCAACATCAACGAGCCTGAGTCATCAAATTCATTGCCTCCTAATTTCTTGACTGTCTCAACTCCAGCAACCTACCCTGCATTCCACTTTAGCAACCCAATCCCACTGCCCCACCCTGTACTCATCACCACCCTGCACTGCACTCCCTCTGAAGCTCTCGTTCTGTCCCCCTTTCCTGCTCTTTTTGTTCTTTCACACATTTCTAGTCGCTCAACCGCACTTTTTCCCAGGAGGCCACTTGAACTACTTACTCCCCAGATGCTCATACTGTGGATCAAGCCTGTTGATCCTCCACTTGGGAGACTGAAGATAATTTCACAACCATTCATAAAAGACCTCAAAACTCATGATTCACACTTTTGCCTCCATGCATCAATCTTTGTTTTCTTTTGCTCTGCATTCTGTTCCCT